GGGTGTCTCGGCCTTGGCCGAGACACCTTGGGGTGTCTCGTTTGCGCCGAGACACCTTAGGGTGTCTCAACTCAGGCTGAGACGTTCCGTTTTACATATTCGTCCGTTTCCGTCGTAACTTCTTCATCCGAACTCGGATTTGAGCGATTCAAAGTGCGTTGGAAAGCCGACGAGGAGTTCTATAAGCTCAAATAATTAGATTATCTGTAGAATAAATGAGACACGAAGGGTATTTCGCCTTTTGTAAGTGACGCGGGGCTCCCGATCAATTCGTATCCTCGTTTTTCTGAAACTCCGTTACCTCACGTAGTTCGTCGATTCACTTCAAACGTTCATCAACGTTAATCGAGCTTCTGTGACTTGGATAGTGATGTTCCTCACCTCCTCTTAGCATTGAGCTGCTCACGCGTTAATCGAGCTTCTGTGACTTGGATAGTGATGTTCCTCACCTCCTCTTAGCATTGAGCTGCTCACGGAGACCTATAGGCAATTTTCGATGCCTACAGTGATGTTCCTCACCTCCTCTTAGCATTGAGCTGCTCACGGAGACCTATAGGCAATTTTCGATGCCTACAATGCTGGTTTGGGCAAAGAATGGTGGGCAGAATAGATTGATACAGCTTGCTATATAGTGAATCGATCTCCACATTCGACATTGGACAGTGATACACCCTATCGGGTGTGGTCAGGGGAGCATGCAGATTATGAGAGGCTCCGGATTTTCGGATGTACCGCCTACTATCACGTCAACGAGGGAAAGCTTGACGCGAGGGCCAAGAAGGTAATTTTCTTGGGGTATGCAAAGGGCGTAAAAGGCTACCGTCTTTGGTGTACAGAAGATTCGAAGTTCATGATCAGCAGGGACGTTACCTTTTATGAGAAGTCCATGATTGCTAGGGTGCCCAAAGATGGTGGTGTTGATACTGTCGGGACTCCCGAGTCCCAGGTTATTGAGATAGAACCGAAAGACCAACCAATTTCTAGTCGTGTTCAAGTGGGAAATCAGGTAGATGATGAGCTTGAGCAGGAGGAGGTTCAGTAGGAGAATACATAGGCACTACAACAACAGCAGCTCGAGGATAGCTTGGCTTCCACTAGGCCAAGGCGAGTATACAAGCAGGTACAGAAGCTGGGGGCTGATCAACCCCTGAAGCACTATGGGCATGTTAATTTGGTTGAATACGCACTCTCGGTGGAGGAAGATGAGCCGGTCTCCTTCAAGGAAGCTATTCGAGACAAGAATAGTGAGGAGGAGATGGAATCTCTTCGGAAGAACCAAACATGGGAGGTGGTCCTATTGCCCGTAGGAAAGAAAGCTATAGGTTGTAAGTGGCTGTATAAAAGAAAGGAAGATCCTTCAGAGCTCGGTGGAACGAGGTACAAGGCGAGGCTAGTGGCTAAGGGGTTTGCACAAAGAGAGGGTGTGGATTATAATGAGATATTTTCTTCGGTGGTGAAACACACTTCTATTCGGGTGCTACTGAGTATTGTTGCTCATGGTAATCTTGAGCTGGAACAACTCGATGTCAAGACGGCCTTCTTGCACGGAGACTTGGATGAAGAGATCTATATGCATCAACCTGAGGGATACAAGGTTGAGGACAAGGAGAATCATGTATGTCGCTTGAGGAAGTCACTTTACGGATTGAAGCAATCTCCGCGACAGTGGTACAAGCGATTTGACTTCTTCATGCTGAAGCATGGATTTTCCCGAAGCAACTATGATTGTTGTGTTTACATTCGGAAGCTTCGTGGAGGTGATTATATCTATCTCCTGTTATATGTGGGCTTCGTGGAGGTGATTATATCTATCTCCTGTTATATGTGGATGACATGCTTATTGCATCGAAGAACAAGATGGAGATAGATAAGCTGAAATCTCAACTCAGCAAAGAGTTCGAGATGAAGGACATGGGCGCTGCAAGAAAAATACTGGGTATGGAGATTAGAATAGAGCGGGCGAATTAGCGATTGTTCTTGAGTCAGAAGGGCTACATAGAGCGGGTGATCGCGAGGTTCGGGATGCAAAGTGCAAAGTCGGTGGTGACTCCATTGGCTCCACACTTCAGGCTTTCAGGTAAACAATCTCCCACTACAGCGGAAGATAAGGCACACATGGTGCGTGTTCCTTACGCTAGTGCAGTTGGCAGTTTGATGTACGCTATGGTGTGTACAAGCCCTGATATTTCACAGGCGGTTAGTGTGGTCAGCAGATTCATGGCAAATCCGGGAAAGGCCACTGGGAAGCAGTGAAATGGGTCCTGAGGTACTTGAAAGGTACTGCGGATACGGGTCTATGTTTTGGTGGAGATACATGTCAGATTGATGGGTATGTGGACTCAAATTATGCGGGCGATCTAGATAGACGACGATCTACTACTGGTTATGTATTTAGAATACACGGAGCTCCAGTTAGTTGGCGATCGATGTTGCAGGCTACAGTGGCACTTTCTACAATAGAGGCCGAGTACATGGCTATGGCGGAGGGAGTGAAGGAAGCATTGTGGCTGTGGGTGTTGAATATCATTTCTCCATGATAATGTTTTGATGATAACAATTTATATTTTGTGTGCACTAACTTGTTTCATATCGGTCAAAAATAATATGAAAATTTAAATTATTTTTAAATTATATTTGTTTTTTGTCAATTCCTCAACATGAAAATTTAAATTGGGTGTATCTCATTTAAACAAACATAAAAAAATAATTAGGATGTAAGAGTTTAAAGAAAAAAATAAGCACAAACTGCCAAAAATACTTAATCATGGTATTAAATCACGTGCATTGCACATGTGTAAAAACTAGTAGTTATAAATATACGGGTTTGTGACCGCAGGGGACAAAAACGGGGCCCACCCACGTGGGCAGTCACCCTCAAGCCGCTTGTTTGCTTGCGCGCTCACGCAAGTCTGCTCCCCTCCCGCTTCGAACCCTGCGCCATCCAGCTTCCCGCGCGCGCGTTTTCCTTTCCCGCGCAAGATCCCGCCAAAACCAGTTCGGGATTTCTCCTATAAATAGGAGGTAGTTGTGTAGTGAAAATGTGTGGGAAAAAAAAATCTCAAGTGGAGTTTTTTGAGAGAAAAGAAAGAGAGGAAGAGAGAACTTGTATAAGTTTGGTATTTTTCCTCCATAGTGAAACCCCCTCCCGTGGATGTAGGCTAGTTTGCCGAACCACGTAAAAATCCTGTGTTTGTATTTGTCTTATCTGTGAGTTGTCATAGCTTGTAGGTTCCCTCGATATTTCAGTCCTTGAATTGATGAGAGGAAGAATGTATATTTCACTTTGATGAAATATATCACTTTCGATTCTTGTTTCCTTTGAGAAATAAGAATTTCACACTCTATTCCTGTTTCCTTTGAGAAACAAGAATACAGAGGTTGACTTGTGCTTTTGTGACAACAAAAGCCAGGGCTCTCTCTCAGGAGATATCGCTTCCGCGGCGGTGGGCGTGACTCCGCCCCAACAGGTAGGAATGATCCATATAGGGGGAGGCCAATGCAAGCGCTGTCGAAGATTGGGTATAGGCTTCATGCTCCCATTCTTCACATCAAACACACCCATCTCACGTGGCTTGTGTTTGAGGTGGTCAAAGTCAAAGTAGGCGTCGTCTGTGAAGTAGATGCAGTTCCCTCCAAGCTCTGGAAATTTTGTTGCAGAGACGGAAAATGAGGTATTTGAATCAACGAAAATGACATTGTCCCCGAGATCATCCTCAGGGTTGAATTCAGGGTTATCCGTGTCGAGCCTAATGGCCATAAATGTATTGTAATATAGGCCCTTGTATTGCATGTATAGTTTTCCGTTCAAGGACTCTACCAATAGTTTGGTCATGCCGCAATAAAATCGTATTTCTAGAATGGATTTGGGACCAGATGTAAGGTGATGATGGTCCCATACATGGAGTACCCCTCCTACATCCACACCATACAGTTGTCCTTTGTGGGGTATGATATCCGCGATACTGCCATGAGATGTTCGTGGCAATGAAGTCCAGCTATTATCTCCAACTTTCGCGATTGCCATGTTACTAAAATCATCGTAATCCTCGTCATACAGCCTAAAAGGGTTGTGGAGAAGAATAACTGTGAAGCCACCGCTACCATCAGCATGAGGAGGCAAGGACAGGTTTGCCTTGTAGAGAAATAAGGGACGGTCAACCTCTGCGTAGTCGCAGACATAGGGTAGAGTGGTGATAGAGGGGAGCTGGATTTGCACTCCAGTTACCGGATTCAAAAGATGCATCTCTGACATATCATAGACAGTTATGAGCCAACCATGGGAAGATCCGATGCACACACGTCTTCGTATCTCTGGAAGAGGGAGAGGGATGCTGTAGGTTCGATTTTCAGAGAAGCTCAAGAATTTAGCACTAATATCTTCTTCGCCGGGTAGCATGAGCCACGGGGAATCAGGCTTGTGGCGCCATGCTTTCTCCCTAACGGCTTGGTTCCATGACTTGCAAACACAACTCAATCTAATGTGATCCGGCAAGGTCAACTTCTGGAGGATCAGCCCGAGGAGCTCCGTTGGAAGCTCTGCACAATTTTTCTCAGCCATATCGGGGCAGGTTTTCTGTCGTTTGAAACCAGCAGCAGCCATGTACACCGTTGATAGTAAATGCGGTGTAGCGGAAGCCTGATCGAGGAAAATATTTACTCAGTTCTGGTACGAGTGAATGACACAAACCCTATAAACCCTAGGAAAAGAAAAACCTTCTGATCAATGATAATCAGATTTTCAATTGGTTATATATATAGCTGCATATGATTTGATTAATCCGATTCCAAGTAGGAGTTTTATAAATGTGATCATATTCCTATAGTGATTAGAATTAAGAGGTTTGTTAATTAAATCATGCTCCTGCACTAGGGATTAGGATTAGGAGGTTTACTGACTTAATTCAATCCCTACAGTCATTAGGAATATGAGGTTTATTAGTTAAATCCCATTCCTATAGAGATTAGGATTACGAGGTTTAACAGTTCAATCCTGTTCCCGTACCTATTCCTGTAACTAGTGATTAGGATTAGGAGGTTGATTAACTTAATACTATTCCAATTCTCGATTAGGAATATATAGGAGGTTTATTAATTGCAATTAATAACCTCATCGCAGAGCGAAACCTTTGAATTCACTGTGAGATTATCCCATGATGTGTTCTTTAATCATATCTAGAAGAACAAACAAGTCGAAGACGATCCCTTAAAAAACCCATTTTCAGACTAGAATGATTCGAGCAAGACATTAACACATTTTCAAAGAAAATTTTCAATGATTAAAGAAAAAAACTTACATTTTCGTGCCGGTTCTCGAACAAGTTCCTGATCTTCAAAGCCTTCTCGTCAATGTGGCTCTCTTGCTTTATCATCTTATTACCACGTCTCTTCTTCTTTCTCTGCTCTCTAGCTTTTGTTAGCAGGGTATTTGTTTGCAGATAAATACATAAGATTCTGTCCTAATGCAACAAGGACTTGAAGTAAGTGGAGTCATATTTTGTAAGTATCATTAACAAATCCCTGTTTTTATTAGGACTCGGATTGTCTTGTTTTAGGAAACAATTTTATTAGGTATCCGGATCCGATAAGGTTTAAGTAGAAGCGTTTGTTTATCTGGTCGGGTAGACAATTTAATGGGGTCGGATTCAGACCGTTAGGTCTGTTATTGAGTTGGACCAAGGTCGACCCAATTGACAAGTTAAATTATTTCGTAACGAACACCCCATATTTTACAACCTATAGTTTTATGACCCGTCAAATTCATTGATTGTTTTAAGTGACAACCTATTAATACACAAATCCGTTAGTTTGTTTTTAGTTTAATTAAAGGTGTACAAATATGAAGATTTGAAGGCCTAATATAAAAATGGGAACTTTCCATATTAAACTGTTAAATCTTTAATATTTTGAAATTTAGTTTTTCAAATGACTGAAATTCCTATTATAGGTCCCTCGATTGTCTAAACTAGTCCCCTCAAATCATTGACATTGATGCCTTCAGGCAAGAGAAGAAGTAATAAGACGTAAGACCTGGAAGAACTAATAGCAAACTCAATGATTTGAGGGATTATGTTTAAACTACTAAAGATTTGATGAGGCTGATGTAAAGATTTGATAAGAACCATACAAAAAAAAAAAAAGAATAGAATCCGTTATAACATCAATTAACCTGAAGTATCGATCATCCTCATGAAGCCGACACGTGTCGGATCTTAGCATCAATCATGTCAGCTCAACCCAGCCGGAGACGACTTGGGTCACCTAGGCAATCGACCTTCCAGAGCCAGGACGAGTCGAGGCCAGCTCTCATTCGACCTATCATTCGAATCGATCACCCTCATTCACTCGCGGTTGTACTGACAACTTGTGAGGTTGACTAGAAAGGCGGTACTTATCGTCCCTCTCGCAAGCTGAATCAAGAGGCTACTTGACCTCGAAAGCCACGCCGATGGCTATCCATTATTTTCATCGTGAATGCGACTCAGTCCAGGATGACTCACCTAACCACCTCAATCATATCCCCTCAATCAACCTCATGTCCAGGATGACTCATTGCCTATGGCTTTAATAAAAGAAATGGATCTGGAGCATCACATGGTTGGCTTTAATAAAAAAGAAATGGACAAAGAGAAATGGACCTGGTTGGCTTTAATAAAATGAAACGGACCTGGCATCACATCCTTGGTTTAATAAAAGAAAGATGCTTTGTCTTAATAAAAAAATTAATTGACGCTTGACTTTGATAAAAGAAGTGGATGCCTGGCTGTAAGTGTAACCCTTTATCTTGGTCTGAACAAGTCGATAATCACCATCTCAAATACACCTGCAAAAAAGGAAAACGAAGAGGGAGGAGAAAAGAATCAACAAGTCGATAATCACCATCTCAAATACACCTGCAAAAAAGGAAAACGAAGAGGGAGGAGAAAAGAATCAAATCAAATATGGTGGTTGTCGGAGAGACACCTGCAAAAAAGGAAAACGAAGAGGGAGGAGAAAAGAATCAAATCAAATATGGTGGTTGTCGGAGAGGTGATTGCAAGCAAAATCATTGAGAAGCTGGTGGAGGTTGGGTTTGACTACGCAGCAGACCAGTTTTTTGCTCGGGGAAGACGAATGAACGACGAGCTTCAAAGGCTCAAGGATGCTCTTCCTCGTATCCAATCAGTCGTAAACGCAGCGGAGAGCGGGCAAGGAGAAACAACCGGAGACCTCGACAAATGGCTATGGCAACTCAAAGGTGCTGTCTACATGGCCAGTGACGTACTCGACGATCTCGATTATACAGAGATACAGAAGCGAGTGGAGGCGGATGCTGCAGGAAGAGGGCCTCGTGGCAGCAAGGTGAGCGGTTTTATTTCCGATTCTAAACGAAGAATTTCCAAGTTTAGTAAAAGAGCCTTTAAATCCGACCCCACCCTCGAGAAGCTAAGGGGGGCTGTCAAGAGGCTAAGTGAAGTGGCGGCAGGCGTTGAAGTTTTTAACAGTTTAGTAACAGAGCGTAAGCAACTTCAACAACAACAACAACAACAGCAGCAACAACATCGTGAAACTGGACCTATCGTAAGGGAGAGAGATGTGTTGGGAAGGGATGAGGAGAGGAAGGAAGTGTTACAGTGGTTGATGAGGGTGCCCATCGCTAATGAGGATCATGAGGGCATCTCTCTTTTCTCCATTGTGGGCCTCGGAGGAGTTGGAAAGACAACCCTTGCACAACTCGTCTACAGGGATGACACCCTACAGAGTTCCTTTAGCATCAAAATTTGGGTGTGTGTCTCCACTCGCTTTGATGTTAAAAATATTATGGGAGACATCCTACAATACGCTCCTAAAAAGAGACCTGGCGTTGGAGGACTTGCCCGACTACAGGAAGATCTTGAGGCCTTTGTGTCATCTAAGAAATTTCTCCTCGTCTTGGATGACGTTTGGAATGACGACGATCTCTCTAGTTGGCAGACGTTTTTTGCTCCGTTGAGGTGTGGACTTAAAGGAAGTAAAATCATTTTAACTACCAGATCGGAGAAGGTCGCCGAAATGGCTACACTAGCTTTGGGAGGGACGGCAAACGAGTCGATGAAGTTAAAACCCTTGGATGGTAATGACTTCTTATCACTTTTCAACCGATACGCATTTGCTGGAACAAATCCCCATAATCATGGGAAGCTGCAATCAATTGGCGAGCAAATAGCCGAAAGGCTTGGAGGCTTGCCGCTGGCTGCCAAGACAATTGGAGCGTTATTGCGTTCTAACTTGGATGACAGTCACTGGATGAATATTCTGCAATCTAGTCGTATATCAGATCACGGACCACAGAGAGATGGTGTGATGCCGGCTCTAATGTTGAGCTACTATTATTTATCGAAGCACCTAAGACCTTGTTTTGCATTTCTCAGCACCTTTCCTCAAGATCACCGGTTTTTCAAAGATGATCTAGTTTTAATGTGGATGGCGCTCGGCTTCATCCAACAATCTCCTCAGAATCCAGCACAAGCACCAGAGGATATTGGAAGCCACTACTTTGATGAGTTAGCCAAACTGTCATTCCTTGAACCATTTGGTCAGCAAATCACAAATCCCTTAACTCAAAGAAGGGAAGAAGCGTACATCATGCATGATCTTTTGCATGATCTGTCAAGCAAAGTATCTCATGGTGAATGCTTTACGTTTGTTGGAGATATGTCAATCAACCAGATCCCAAACACAGTACGTCATTTGTACTTTGAAACCGGTGATCTTGGTCTTCTCAAAGATATGGACAAATGGAAGAACTTGCACACCCTGATTTTAAAATTCAATGGATACAATGATGAGCATGCCGCGGCTTTCCAACAAGTGTTTGAATCACTAGAAAGCATTCGAGTGTTGTGCATCAATATTGAAGAAATGGAAGTGTTGCCGTGTGCAATAGGTAAATTGAGGCATCTCAGATATTTGTCACTTGCTGGTCTTTTTGCTCGGTTGCCTAGTTCAATCTGCAAGCTTTACCACCTGCAGGTACTTGCTCGTAGGTATATTGAAACTTTTCCAGTTTTGGTCTTGAATAACCTTATTAACTTGAGACACCTGCTGCCATATGAGATTCCCTACGAAAACGTCGATGGGATTGGGACTCTTACTTCGCTTCAAAGGTTAACTTTCAGTGCTGGTGATTATAAATTTAGCGAACTAAAGGACCTGAGAGAGCTTCAGGAACTCCGGATTGGTGGCCTTCGGAACCAACTACACGGCAAGGAGGTTAGTCTGGTTCAGCTACGTGATAGAAAGAGACTCCAAGTGTTACATTTGGAATGGGATGACGATAGTGATGCAGCAGAGGAGTATGAAAAGGTGCTCGATTGCCTCCATCCGCCTGATATCCTCAAGGAACTCGAAATTACACAGTACGGAGGTGCAAGGTCTCCATATTGGATGGAAAAAGATTTGTTAAAAAATCTAGAGCGCGTTTTTCTTTCCAGAAACGCAGCATGGAAGCACCTTCCTTCTCTCGGGAAGCTTCCGTATCTCAATAAATTGAGTTTGATTTCACTAACAGGACTTGAGCAAATTGGCTTTGAAGGCGGATTTCAGCAGCTGAAGAATTTACAAATCCGGGATTGTGAACAATTGGAAGAGTGGTCCGGATTTGGAGCGGAGACGGCTGCACCTTGCTGGCCTCTCCTTGAAGATCTCGGAATCCGGGGGTGTCCCAAACTTAAGGCATTGCCTCCTCTGCCCCTTGCTGGCCTACAGAGCTTGGTGTTACAGAGTGTGGGATTGTCTGATTCTCCAACATTCTTCCCGGCTACTCCAACCTCGTCCTCCTCCTCTCCTCCCCTCACTCGCATGGAGATTTCATTTTGTGAAAATTTAACATCAGTGGCCGGCTTGCTGCGGCATCGCCTCACCGCCCTCAGGAGGTTGATGATTAAGGGTTGCGAAGCTCTTGCGGATCTGTACGCAGGGGAAGGCTTTCAGCACCTGCACTCCATCGAAAGCCTAGCGATTGAAGACTGCCCAAAGCTGAAGATGGCTACCGACGCGGTCGCCCTTACTTCTCTTTCTCGACTTACACTGTCAGGTCTGAACCACATAACATCCTTTGCCTCCGAAGAGGCGTGCAGAAGATTAACTTCACTACGATGGCTGCGATTGGAAGACTTGGGAGGGCTGATGTCAGTTGAGGGTCTAAAGGCTCTTTCCCACCTTGAAAGGCTATGGATTGGCAAGTGTCCCAAGCTCGTGCAAGCAACAGCAGCAGCAGCAGCGTCAATTAAGGGGAAGGAGGAGGAGGAGGAGTTCACATTAGCCGTCGGCGATCTTACCATTGATGACCCCTTGTTGCTCCACGTTGAACCGTTGAGAAAACTCACGTCTGTCACAGGTCTACGGATAGGAGACTGTGGGAATCTGGAGAGCGAGGGAGACATCGACCCGTGGTTGTTGCGCAACGGAACTTCGCTCCGATCCATCGTCCTGGGAAAGTACAGTACTGCAGAGTCGCTGCCTCGTAGCCTCCAAGCCCTCTCTTCCCTGGAGGGTTTAAAAATCACTGGAGCTCATCAGCTCCAGTCGCTGCCGCGGATGCCCTCGTCTCTGCGATGGCTTAGCATCCTTGGCTGCAACGGGACGCTGGTGGAGCGGTGCGCGGAGGACGAAGGTGCCGATTGGCCCAACATTAAACACATCCCTCGGATTGATGTCTCAGACTCAGATGATGTCTCAGACTCAGATCAGTATTAATTGCATTTGAGCCTGATAGCGACTGTTTTGTCCTATTTTGGGCTCACCGCAAAGAAAATGAGAGGTGTGTACACTTTTTTTGCCTTGAAATAGGAGACAAGACTTCATGTTCAGTTTTCTGGCTAAAATTTATCCTTTTGTTTTTTTTAAAAGGTTCCTGATGTTATGAACATCTGCTAGGGTTTTATGTTACTTTTGTAGCATAACCTTATGTATGTTTGGCTCTTAATTCATGAGTTCTTTATTTATCAAACTTCAGTTTCTTACATGTTGAGCCACAAAGTATTCGATTCGGGCTGTGGTTTGATTTGCGTTTGTTTTCTGCGAGCTTCTTTAGCAAACATAGCGTAGAAGCTGCTCGATGAGACTGTTTACAAGATTTTCATGCTGCTCTTCATTTCTTACATAGACTTCTCAGAAGAAGGCAGGTTCTCTTTGAGTCGGGCTGTAATTTGATTTTGCGTCTGTTTTCTGCGAGCTTCTTTAGCCGGTGCAGCTATTTCCTTTTCCTTTACCATGCATGAAGTTGGGCTTCTCATATCACAAACAAAAGGTGAAATTTATGATAAATCTACTCCTTATTTTGCATAATAGAGTACGTTCCTAAGATGAAGGGCGAATTTATCCGGTTAATTGCATTTTTGTTCTGGTGATATGCGGTTCTGCCTTCAAACTTCTTCATATGCCAATTCAGAGAGAAGATAAGAGAGTAGAAGTTTGAATCTTTATGTGCAAACTTCTTTATTTGCCTCCCCGTTTAAGAAGCTAAATGAATATTGAGGTATTTATATATTTATATTCGTCTAAAATTTCAAGTCTGAATCTTTTAATTTCTTCTTTGTGTCAAATTTTGAATGTAAAGGTTCGCTTCCTGAGTCTACTACATATATAGGTTGAATTTCCCCTTTAGGTCACTACTTGATTGCCTCTTCATTTGATGCTTTTTGCGTTAATGCAAGGCTATTAATGGCGTTATACAATCCAAGAATGCATTGATTTTCAATTCGCCGTCTACTCATCTTGTCTGTAAATCACTATAAAGTCCTTTACGTTTGATGCTTGTTGCGTTAATGCAAGGTTCTTACTGGATTTTTTTTCTAGTTTCATATTATAACTGAAGGGTAGAGGGGATGGCTTGAGATTCAGGGTATAAATATTGACACTGTTCTTTAAGGTTTTGAAGGTTACATATGCAAGTAACATATTTATTAAAGTGGTTAATATAGGTAAATTCCTATTTGGAAGATTACAATCTTTAAAAACAAAGTATAATTGGTTCTTCAACTCGCACTTTTCTGTTAATACTTTGAACAAAGTAATTTATGCGCTGAATAAGTCAAGTTAGGTGCGGCTCCTATGACCAATTTTTGCTTGGTAATTATGAAAAAAATGACTTTAAGAATGTCAACTAACAGCAATACTTAAGATGAATATTATGACAGATCATTTTATATCTCATATATATAGATACTGCTCTCACTAAGTGTCTTTCAAAATTTGGCTTTGTCGCTAATGGAGCTCATGAAGCTACTGCTCAAAGCAAAGTTCTCAATTACAGTGTGTATACTATTGTTTCATTTAGTTGGAGCCTATGATGCAGAGCTCTTTCCATACTACTACAGTAAACTGTGCCCTCTTGCTGAAGAAATCATCAGGTAAAATGTCAAGGTAGAGCAATTTATTGTGACCCATTATTTTCAGCAGCTCTCTTGAGACTCCATTTCCATGATTGTTTTGTTCTGGTCTAATTCTTTGGCTAATTAATATTTTTAAATATGAGTTCTTGTTATTGTTAAGTTTAATACTAATGTTGTGAGAAGTTTGTGTAGGGATGTGATGCATCTTTACTGCTTTAAATTGGTACATTTGACAAAGGTGGAAGGACAATCGGGACAGTTTTAGGCATAATTGGCAGGTTTTGAAGCACATACATTGGATGTCGATAGGAAGAGAAAGAAAGTACAAGTAACCAGCTGCAGATGATTAGATTGCGAAAACTCGTTTTTGGAAGAGATTTACGTGTTACGTACTAAATAGAATTCGTTACGGATGAGATTCATTAGCTACTATAAACATGAGCTGGGAAATTGAAGAGCTTGCGTGGTTAATGTGCAACATTGCCATAGGGAATGAAACACGCTGCCGATGAACTGGCACGTAACTTACATATTATTGTAGTTATCAACAAAGTACTAGTAAGGAAATAATTTTATCTGTTTCAATCAGTATAGAATAAAAGAAGGTATATTCATATAGATCTGATAGATTGTTCGAAAAAATTAGTCAATTTTTGTGGGTAACACGTGTTTAAGTTGGACTGTACTCTGTATTTTGTATGTTACTTTGTTTGAAAATGTATGATAATTTTTCAAGAATCATGCATAGAATCCATCTCCACATGCAAAAAATTTCACCGCAAATCTCATTGGTCTTGAATTTTCAGACACTGAAGCTCATTTCTGAAGATTTTCTATCACTTGAAGGAGCAAGTTTGCGGAAGATTGTCAGTTAACTTGAAATATGACACTCAGAAATAGCATGACAATGTTGAAATAGAAAGAATATTAAGAAGCAATAATACCCCAAAATACGCAGACTACAGTTTGTATGCATGCCTGAATAATGATATTGGATTTAGTTGAGTCAGGTTTCTATCAGCAGAGTTTTTCAAGCAATCTACTATATATTTTCTATTTGTTGCGACAAGATACAGAATTTTTTTTTGTAGCTTTGTAATTTTTATAGTTATAAATATATGGGTTCATTCTAAGAGAGGAAAATCTGCTAGATGAAGGAATTTTCAGGGAAAAAAAAAGGAGAGATCCATTTATTTATGTAATTATGACAACACACAAAGTTTTACAATAAAACTTCAAACTAGAAAGCCATAGAAAATAACGTCATAGGATTCTACATAAATATGATCATGAAGCTAATTATAGAACACATATATAGGATCCCCCTTTCAATTACGATCGAATTCTTTCATCGATCACCACCATCTTCTGACCCTCCCTACAGCATGGATTATCTGGCGCTCGATCTACAAGCCATTCAAGTGAATATAAATCACAGAGCAGAAAATAAAAAAAAATAAAATTTGAGCATTAGTTTTTAAAATTGTAAGATTTAAGAGGATTTTTTTTTTGTACCGTAAATAAAGCATCAAGCTTGTCCCTCAGAAGGGAATACTCGTCTTGGAGGTTGTCTAGTAGCTGCATAACCCTGTGAAAACTTATATTTTGTTACATTAAGGGGTTTGTTGATGAAATCTCATTTTTTTTTCATTTAATGAAAAAATTTAAAAGAGTCTTTAGCTATGAAGATTAATTAGTTCACCTTTCACGGTTATCAACAGTTCTACGGGAAGTGAGGAGGGTTTGGCTAGCTGTGACCATTCTTGCAGCACCGATGCTGCGAAAAATGAATCGATATTTTAATTCTATGCAATACTAGGGATATGAGTCTAATTAAAAAAAAATTGAAAGCATAAAGTATCCAATATTACAGTATCATACAGACTAAATTACAGAAATTCTTTGGTTATGCATGTAACATGAAGATCTATTACGTCATTAACCTCCGCAAGTTTTAAAAAAAAAACATAGTTCAAATACTATAATTTCTTTTTCCTTCAAAAGTAAGTTAATAATCATATTGAAAATAACACCTAGCTCATGACAAGAATTAAATTAATTGGTTTCTAATTAAAGTATATATGAGAAAAGGCATCCAAATTAAAGCAGGTAAATATTTATTTTTATACCATGAAGAACCACCCTTGATCCTGAAGATCACCCTGTACACCCTCCTCATGTCAACGGGCTCCTCGTCACTGACAAGTATGTATACATAACAAATACAACAATAATATTACAAAAACAAAAAAGAGTAAAAACAATTTAAATCATCGAAAAAACAATAATAATTCGATCACACTCACGTAAGGTAACTAAGTTGCAAGATGTTCTCAAAGCAACTCTTAAGGTAAGTCTCCATGGTGTTGCTAAGTGATCCTGGCTCAGTCTCCAATCCGCGCAAAGTCATATAATGATCATTTAAAAACCCCTATTGTAAAAAAAATAAAAAATAAAATAAAAAAATAGATGAAAGAAGAACTTAATTATTAGGAAAAGAAATGATCTAAACTTCATGAATAAGCTCCCAATGGAGCTCAACGAGGTTGTTGTGGAGACGCTCGATATCCATTAATTACTATCTCAAATCAGCTCAAATGGTGAAGAGTATTGGAAGCAAATTAAGGGGGAGAGTGACTAAAACAAGACCCCTATTTATAGGGAAAGTTAATTAATTAATTAACAAGTTGGTGTTTTATGTAATGACAATTTAAGTTTTAATTATTTTTGGATGTATTATGGGGAGGTTGTTCAAAAGAGCGCTAGGGGGTTACATTGAATGAAAATGTGAGAGCTGAAACGGATTTTAGAGTTTTTTGGACTGCAGTTAACAGACCCGGGAGGTTTGTGCGTTTGGTGGGGCCCAGACAGGTTGGGTCCAACGTGGAAATGTATTGTGGATTGATACTTTTGTAACGTCTCCTTAATTACTCTGGGTAGATATTTTAATTATTATCAGAGCGTTCCGCATGCGAGCATAATGGCCAGAGTAATCAGATATGAGAGAAAAATTTGGAAAGGTTATTAGAGTATTTGTATTTGAGATTACTCTCCTAGTTTGATTTTCGTAATTAAAATTTTTCTGTAGATTTTCGTAAGCTGTGTTTGGTTCAAAAAAAATTTACAGAAATGTTTTCTGTAAAGTACAAAAAAAGTACCAAAATTTACAGAAATCAATTTCCTCTCAAAATGGGCGGAAATTACCCAGAAATCTAACACCACATTGTCACTTTTCTATAAAGTTGACATTCTTCTATAAATTTAGGGGGTGTTTGGTTCAATTTCTACAAATTATAGAAAATCTTGCTATTTTCTATAAAGTTATGAGTCATTTTCTTGTTTTGAACCAAACAAGCAAAGTAAAAAAAAACAAGAAAATTGGTACTTTTTGACTTCTCAAAACTTTTCCTATAATTTATAGAAATTGAAACAAACACCCCCTAAATCTCCTACTGATCTTAAAGATCCGAAAATGTTAATTATCACAATATTGACTCCTTAAATAGGAAGAGCAATAGAGAGCTTACAGTACGATCGTTGCGGTCATAATTGTAAGGAGTATTAGAATGTTGTTGAGTTCGTAACATGCTTCCTAACACCTGGACAGTACATAACTATAGAGATAGAAACGACAAGTAAGCATATCAGAGGATCATAACAACTCCGCTAAAAGGTAAAATGCTTGTATTCATAACGTGACTGTTACCATACAAGCGGACAACATGCTTCATAACTCGTGCTGGCAACATGCTTCATAACACGTGAACAATACATAATTATACGGATAGAAATGACAAGTAAGGCATATCGAAGAATCTTAATTAACAACTCTTAACTTCTCGAACCTAAAAGGTAAATGCCCACGTTCATAACGTGATTGTTATCGTACAAGCTGACAATATGCTTTATAACACGTGCTGGCAACATGCTTCATAAATGTGAACAATACATAATAATACAAATAGAAATGACAAGTAAGCATATCGGAAAATCTAATTAAACCCAAACTTCTCGTACCTAAATGCCTGCATTTAGGAATGTGATAGCTATAATACGAACTGACAATAAGCTTTATAAATTGTGATGGCAACATTCTCCATAGCAAATGAACAATACACAATAATAAAGATAAAAAGTGAAACTAAAGGGTGTGTTTGGTAAATCTCCCTTTAGCTTGAATAATCCATTGAGCTTTGCTACAGAGACCCAAAATATGGGACCAACAGGGGGGACACGTGAGGTGTCCTCCTCCTTACATAATGAGTTGGTCATCATTAATGATGACCAACTCATTATGCAAGGAGGAGGACACCTCACGTGTCCCCCCTGTTGGTCCCATATTTTGGGTCTTTGGGGAATTTTTCTAATCCATTGGTCTCAACTAAGATTGGTCTAGATATAGAGATGGACCAATTCTTGCCCAGTTAGGGGTGAAAAGTTAGGGTGTGTTTGGTAAGTGGGCCAAACTGTGCTTGTTCTGGTGAGAACCAATTCAGTTGTGGACCAGCTCCTTCCTGGTCCACAATAAAACCAGTTTTTTTTTGTTTGGTTTGGGAGGGGGGGCTTGGGGGTGCTTTTTTGGTTTATAAAAACTAGGTCAACAATGACCAAGTTTTTTGCTAAACAGAAATAGCATACAAAATTGGGATAGGTTAAATTGTTGCCAAACAAGACCTGAGCTAAAAAACCTAGGCCATCTCTGGCCTAGTTATTCGCCAAACACCATTTTAATCCTTAACGGGTTAGAGTCCACTAACCAAGTTAAGGGGATTTTGCCAACAGAGTCCGCATATCAGAAAATATCAGAGAATAGTAACAACACAAGAAGGTGGCCTAGCATGATATTTGGTCGTGGAAAGGGCATGTGATGTTAGATTAACAAATCATAATTTTTAGCCCTCGTCGTAATTTTAGAGTTTAGTGCTAGGTCAATATTAGAACCCCCCCCCCCCCCCCCAAAAAAAAAAAAAAAAAAAAAAAAAAAAAAAAAAATATAATTTTTATAATTTTTAGCCCTCGTCGTAATTTTAGAGTTTAGTGCTAGGTCAATATTAGAACCCCCCCCCCCCTACCAAAAAAAAAAAAAAAAATTGGACGGTTATCAGACTAATTTAGGGGGTGTTCTTATATAAAATCCCAAAGTTAAAGAGGATTTTTTTAATAATCCCTAAACTTAAGTGAGATTTTCTTATATTTTGAAAGTTAAGAGGAGTTTTCTGATAAATGGAGGATTTTATGATATTTAGCCAAGCTTTGTTACATGGACCCAAAATATGAGACCAATATGGGAGACATGTGAGGTGTCCCCCTCCTATTGCATAATGAGCTGGTCACAATAGGAATGGACACCTCATCTGTCCCCCTGTTGGTCCCATGTTTTGGGTTATTGGGAAATTTTTCTATTTAGCCTTTAGTGCAGTAGAATTCTATTTAATAAAGGATTTTTTTTTAATGTTGGACTCAATAATTTTGATTGGGTCCGATAAGGACCGTTCGGCAAGACTTCAAGCACATTTCTAGAGTTCAGAAAACGAGTCTGTTAATTATCACAGTATGACTTCTTAAATAGGAAGCGTAATAAAGAGCTTGCAGTAAGATGGTTGCGGTCATAACTGTAAGGAGTATTAGAAGGTTGTTGAGTTCATAACATGCTTCATAACACCTGGACATTACATAACTATAGACATAGAAACGACAAGTAAGCATATCAGAGAATCATAACAACTCCGCTAAAAGGTAAATGCGTGTACTCATAACGTGGCTGTTACCATACAAGCGGACAACATGCTTCATAACACGTGTTGGCAACATGCTTCATAACACGTGAACAATACATAATTATACGAATAGAAATGACAAGTAAGACATATCGGAGAATCTTAATTAACAACTCCAAACTTCTCGAACCTAAAAGGTAAATGCCCACATTCATAACGTGATTGTTATCGAACAAGCTGACAATATGCTTTATAGCACGTGCTGGCAACATGATTCATAAACGTGAACAATACATAATAATACAAATAGAAATGACAAGTAAGCATATCAGAAAATCTTGATTAAACCCAAACTTCTCGCACCTAAAAGGTAAATGTCTGCATTTAGTAATGTGATAGTTATAATACAAGCTGACAATATGCTTTATAAATTTTGATGGCAACATTCTCCATAGCAAATGAACAATACACAATAATAAAGATAAAAAGGGAAACTAAATGGTGTGTTTGGTAAATCTCCCTTAGCTTGAATAATCTCTTAGTCTTGCCTAAGATTGATCTAGATAAAGGGATGGACCAATTCTTGCCTAGTTAGGGGTGAAAAAGTAAGGGTGTGTTTGGTAAGTGGGCCAAACTGTGCTTTAGTATTTGTTCTAGTGAGAACCAATTCAGTTGTGGACCAACTCCCCCCTGGTCCACAATAAAACCAGTTTTTTGGGTTTGGTTTGGTTTGGGTAGGGGTGGGGGTGGGGGCGGACTTAGTGGGTGCTTTGGTTCAATTTCTACAAATTATAGGAAATCTTGCTATTTTCTATAAAGTTATGAGTTATTTTTTTGTTTTGAACCAAACAAGCAAAGTAAAAAAAATAAAAATTTTGGTACTTTTTGACTTCTTAAAACTTTTCCTATAATTTTTTTTAAGAAATACAAGGAAATCATATTTTGGATGGAAAAAATTTCCTATAATTTGTAGAAATTGAAACAAACACCCTCTAAATCTCCTAGGGCTATCGCAAACCTTACTAGGGCTATCGCCTAGTGGCCGTGTGCATGAAAATAAAGCTCCACATAAACTAGAAGCAGAATCCTCCAAAGCTTGTCAGATCGCCTCCAAATTCCCTTGATGTGCTTCTATAAGTTTCCACAATGTGTAAGCACTATCAAAAGAATCAAGCTTGTTAGAAAAAGATGAATCAAACGCATTATGTAAAAATTCTAACAAGAGCTTGTTCATTGTAAACATTTGATGATCATTTTTATTCCACTTGGATTTCTCTGAAGTGAGCACAATATAAGCATCATCTATAATTTTCCATAAATCAAAGTGTCTAGATTGAACAAAAAGTTTAAATCTAATACACCATTGGGTATAGGAAAAAATATCTAATCTAGAAGCAATATTGATGGCATAACCTAAACTAGGTGCACCGTGCATATCCATAATGTATATATGTGCAAGCAAGATAATAATAAAATCACAAAACTAGATTAGCACAAAAATAAGATAACTTGGATCTTTAACTCAAGGTGCTTAGACCTTAAATCAAAGAGCACCAAGCTCTGATACCAATTGTTGGATCCTAGAGGGGGGGGGGATGATTAGGGTCTTATGCTAATCTAATCCGATTTTATACCAATTAAAACTAATTAATAAATTATTCTTACAAGATAGATATATAATATGTTACAAACAAGAATAAGCAATATGAACAAGGGGATATATCCTGGCAATGAGATATATGGTGAAATATATGCAAGGATATATAAACAACACAAGGGTAAACAATCTAAACTGAAGATGTAATTGTGATAGGGTAATATAAACAATACAAACACATAATATGATCACGGAGTTCGGACCTTCCGTCCTACGTCTCCGCTCCCCACTCCCGGGGAGAAATCCACTATCAC